AGACCCCTATAGGCCCCATAGATCCCCTATAGGCCCCATAGACCCCCTATAGGCCCCATAGACCCTCTATAGGCCCCACAGACCCCTATAGGCCCCATAGATCCCCTATAGGCCCCACAGCCCCCCTATAGGTCCCACAGCCCCCCTATAGGCCCCACAGACCCCTATAGGCCCCATAGATCCCCTATAGGCCCCATATACCCCCTATAGGCCCCACAGACCCTCTATAGGCCCCATAGATCCCCTATAGGCCCCATAGATCCCCTATAGGTCCCACAGACCCTCTATAGGCCCCACAGCCCCCCTATAGGTCCCACAGCCCCTCTATAGGTCCCACAGACCCCTATAGGCCCCATAGATCCCCTATAGGTCCCACAGACCCCTATAGGCCCCACAGACCCCCTATAGGTCCCACAGCCCCTCTATAGGCCCCACAGACCCCTATAGGCCCCATAGATCCCCTATAGGCCCCATATTCCCCCTATAGGCCCCGTCCCGGCCGCACCGACACGTACCGGGCCCCGCGCCCCGGGCTCCCCGCGCCCCGCAGAGACGCCGCCTCCCATTGGGCGCCAGAGACGCGCGCCGCCATTGGCCCGCGCCCGCGCCGCGGGCACGCCCCCACCACCCGGCTCCGCCGCGGGATTGGCTGCGCGGTGACAGCGGGCGTGGCCACGAGGGGGCGCGGCGCTAATTAACTCACCCCCTAATTAACGTGGAAACGGGGCGGGGCTAGGAGTGGGCGTGGCTATGAATGGGCGGGGCTAACGGGCACAGCTGGGCGTGGCTCCAGGACACCTCTGGAGGGGGGGGTGCAGCTTAAGGGCACTTTAATTAAGCCCAGCACTAATTAACAACCCCCATTTTTGCATTAATTAACAACCCCCTTTCCGCACTAATTAACAACCCCATTCCCACCCCCGCTCACCCAGGAAGCGGCTGCCATGGGAACGACCCCAGCAGGGGCMCGGACAGCGGCTCCACGCGACAGAACGGGGCGAGACCCGTTTYGGGGCAAAAACGGGCCAATTTGGGGGCGCTGGGCGGGGGTCCCGGCCGAGGCGGCGGACACAGGCGGCTGCGTCAACCTCTTTATTGGGTGCAGGCGCAGCGGGGGGCGCGGCGGCGGCGGGCGCGGTGACGACGACGAGGATGAGGATGAGGAGGAGGAGGAGGAGGAGGATGAGGGGGGTCCTGGGGGGCTCAGGGGCCGCCCCCCTCGCCGGCGCCGCTCTCCTTGTCCAGCTCCTCGTCGGGACCCTCGGCGCCCGCCTTGGCGTTGGGCACCCAGAGCCCCGAGGCGATGCAGCGCTGCATGTGGTGCTTGGCTTCCTGCGGGAGCGCACGGGGCCCGGAATGCCGCCGGGAATGCCGCCGGGAATGCGGCCGGGAACGCGGCCCCC